AGGCCTCTTATTTTGTAGGGAGGATTAGCCTTAATAGTCACGGTTGCAGGTGGATCGATAATTGCAGAACCAGACGTCTAGCATCTTTGAGATGGCTGTCCGTTGTAGCTTTGGGTATTTTACGTCTAGCGTGAACTTGATGTATTCTTATGATGACCACCATCTATTGCAAGCTATAAGATTTCTCTGGTATTTCGTCTTGTTTTTGTGAATTGGTGCAGATACTGACGTACTGCTAGATGGAGTGACGACCTAGTGAGACATGCAGGAAGTCGATGGAAGCAGACAGCCCAGGACCGTGCTTTGTGGCATTCATCGGGGGAGGCTTAGGCTTAAGTTCAGCAGTAAACTTGTGAATGGCTGTGATGATGATGAATGACGTTCATGAGAGCTTTAGACAAGCCTTAATAGAATAAAATGACTATGATTTTGATTTTGAAAGCCTCTGGTACTTTATAGATTCTACAGCTTTCTATAATTTCAAGCTTTCTTTGACCCAATAATAATGTATTCATCATTATTTTTTATTTTTGTTACATAACATAATGATCCGTAGATGTTAGTATTCATAAAAATTTAATGACTTACGGTCTTACTCATAAAAATCTATATTGCCTCATGGGGGGATTTTGGCATAGTTGCCACGTTTGGCAAACGGGTTGGCAACCATATTTTTTTATAATTTTGGGTTGTTATCAGGAAGCGTTACTGCCCATTTTCTGGCTTGTTTCCCTTTGTCGCCTCTTACGACACCCACGGGACGATCCGGGGTAATATTCTTACACCTCCACTACACGGTCACGTAGTACTTGAATACTTATTTCTTATCTTTAGTCCTCTGGATAAGCCTCCATATTGAAGGAACATCCAACTTCCCTCCTATCTCACGCACAGCATCATTACCACTACCATGACGACCATTATAACCGTTGCGTTAACATTTCTTCACTTCTTCTGCAATAATAGACCACTTTTAACTTGTATGTTGGAAGAGATTAGCTAATGGCGGATGCAACAGACTGTTGAATTGATGCTAAACACGCATTCGTAGTACAATCTTATATATATACATACTTATATAGAATAAAATGTATTAAAATATTTTTTTTCAATATAGATTACAAGTATTTCTTATTGAAAGTATTTTTTTTACTTTTACCACTGTTTTGAAAAACCTCTTCCTGCATGTCTTATCAGGTCATCATTCCATCTAGTGGGGGGTCGCCCTAAACTTCGCCTACCGGTACGAGGCTACCTACTCGAGAACCTTTTTTCCTCATCGGTTGTCTGTCCTTCGAGCAATATGGCCGGCCCATTGCCACTTCAGCTTACTAATCCGTAGGGCTATGTCGGTCACTCCGGTTCTACTGGGGATATCCACATTTCTAAGTTTATCACGCAGAGAAACCGCGAGCATAGTCTTGAGCATCCTCATACGGCCAGCAGTGAAGGACCACGTCTCAGATCCATGAGTCATCACTGGCAACACGCTCTGGTTGAACAATCTAGTTTTGAGGTTCTGAGGTATGTCTAACGAGAAGATATGTCGTAATCTCCCGAACGCTGCCCAGCTGAGTTGAATCCGTCGATTGACCTCTCGGTTGAAGTTGGACTTACATAGTCGGACTATTTGTCCTAGGTAAACATATTCGTCAACAAGTTCGAGCTTAGTGCTCCCTACAACTACCGGCATAGGTGTGACATGGACGTTAAACATGATTTTTGTGTTCTCCATGTTCATCTTAAGACCTATCCACCACCACGTCTCAGATCCGTAGGTCATACGGATCTGAGACATGGTCCTTCACTGCTGGCCGTATGAGGAAGCTCAAAATCGCTGAGGGAGCTATGGAAAGAGCAATGCTCGACATTTCTCTGCGTAATAGACTTAAAAACGAGGATATCCGCAGTAGAACCAGAGTAACCGACATTGCCCAAAGAATTAGTATGCTGAAGTGGCAGTGGGCCGTCCATATAGCTCGAAGAACCGACAACCGATGGGGTAGTAGGTTCTCGAGTGGCAGCCTCGTACCGGCAGGCGAAGTGTAGGGCGTCCCCCCACTAGATGGAGTGACGACCTGGTAAGACATGCACGAAATTGATGGATGCAGGTGGAATGGATGAATGAATGGATGGATGAAGGTGCAAAAGGAGTGGTCTTTCGTAATGATAACGCCAGACCACACATATCTTTGGACACTCAGCAAAAATTAAGAGAGCTTAATGCATCCACCATAATGGTTGGGAAGTGTTAATGCATCCACCACTATATAGTTCTGACCTTGCCGCCTCAGATTTTACCTGTTTCAGTCTCTTCAGCATTCTTTGTAGTGTTAGGTTAAGATCAAGAGAGGACTGTCAAAACTACTTGTCGCATTTTGTTGTTCAAAAATCCCAAGATTTCTACAGCAACAGGATCATGTCACTTTCTACAAGATGGCAAGAAGTTATCGAACAAAATGACACATATATTTTATAATCAAATGTGATTAAACTTTGGAAAATAATTTCTTGAATTTGTATATAAAATACGAAGAAACTTTTCCCCAACCTAATATAATAACAAAGTGCACACCTTATCTTTTTTAATATTATATATTACATATCTTTGTAACTGGCCTACTGGAAGAAATTTCAATATGAGATAAGTAGCGCCCTTGTACAAACTCTTCATCATTATGTGTCCTCACCGTTCTTTGTGTGTATAAAAATTGTTAAATAAATAATAAATAAAACAATCTGTTCACAATAGACGAGATTTCGCCTAATATATGTATAATTTACACGTGGTAGAGCCATGCTGTAGCTATATCAAAAAGGCGACCGCTCAGACCCATCCAACTATAGGCCTATCGCGATCACCTCCTTGTTCTCCAAAATAATGGAATCCATTATTAACTGCCAGCTCATCCGGTACCTTGAGGATCACCAGCTGATTAGTGACCGCCAATACGGTTTTCGTCGGGGTCGATCAGCTGGTGATCTTCTGGTCTACCTGACCCATAGATGGGTGGAGGCTGTAGAGTCCAAGGGGGAGGCGTTGGCCGTTAGTCTGGACATTGCGAAGGCCTTCGATCGGGTTTGGCACAAAGCGCTTCTTTCGAAGCTCCCTTCCTATGGGCTTCCCGAGAAATTGTGCAAATGGATCACCAGCTTCCTTGTAGATCGGAGCATCACGGTCGTTGTAGACGGTGCATGCTCTGACTACAAGCCTATTAACGCTGGTGTTCCACAAGGCTGTGTGCTATCACCAACGCTGTTTCTTCTGCATATCAATGATATGTTGCTAACTGGTAACATTCATTGCTATGCGGATGACAGCACTGGTGATGCTCTATACACCGGCCGTGCCAATATTTCTCGGGAAAACGTCGCTGAGTACCGGAACAAACTTGTGTCTGAAGTCGAGTCTTTGCTGAACAAAGTCTCGGATTGGGGGCGACTAAATCTAGTCCAATTTAATCCTCAGAAGACACAAGTTTGCGCGTTTACCGCTAAAAAGAACCCCTTTGTCGTATCTCCTCAGTTTCAAGGCACTCCCCTTCTTGCCTCAGCCAGTATCGGTATCCTCGGAGTCGACATATCGAGTGACGTGCAGTTTCGTGGTCACTTGAAAGGGAAGGCCAAATTGGCCTCTAAAAAGCTTGGCGTGCTCAGCAGAGCGGGACAGTATTTCATGCCGGCACACCGCCTACTACTTTACAAGGCGCAAGTTCGGCCTCACATGGAATACTGTTCCCATCTCTGGGCAGGGGCTCCCCAGTGCCAGCTCCTTCCACTTGACCGCATCCAACGCAGAGCGGCTCGAATTGTCGACGACCGAGCCCTTTCCGATCGGCTCGATTCATTGGCACTGCGAAGAGATGTTGCATCCCTCTGCATTTTCTTTCGCATCTACCATGGGGAGTGCTCTGAGGAATTGTTCGGATTAATCCCAGCCGCCAAATTTCACGAACGCACATCGCGGCAGAACTCCCGATACCATCCACACCATCTGGATGATTGGCGGTCCACCACTGTGCGATTTAGAAGATGTTTTCTTCCTCGCACGACCTCCTTGTGGAATCGATTACCATCAGCGATTTTTCCGGACCGATACGACTTAGGGACCTTCAAAAAAAGAGCGTACTCCTTTTTAAAAGGCCGGCAACGCATCTGCAATTCCCCTGGTGTTGCAGTTGTTCATGGGCGGCGGTAGTCACTTACCATCAGGTGAGCCGCATGCTCGTTTGCCCCCTCTCCTATAAAAAAAAATAAAAATATTTGTGTTACCACGAATGGGTCGGCTTGACCGTGGTAGGACCACGCTATCACAGAATACGAGCGTAAAATAGCAGCTCAAGGCGGCTGTTTCGTATGGTGACTGCAGAGAACCGGAGACCTTTTTCACTTGAAAAGAGGCATTCGGTCTCAGTCCTTAGGGGTGGCAACGCATCTGAATTTTGATTCTTCATCATCGTCATTACAGCCCTTCACAAGTACACTGCTGAACACGGGTCTCCCGCACGCAATGCCACAAAGCACCGTCCTAAGCCACCTGCATCTATCGACTTTCCGCATGTCTTACTAGATCATCACTCCATCTAGTGGGAGGCCGCTCTACACTTCACCTGCCGACCTGCATACACTTACCATCAGGCAAACTTTGTGCTCGTTTGCCACCCTTATTATATAAAAATTTCGATTGTGACTGTCTCATTGTCTTTTTGAAATCGGCTTAGAAAGTAAACTAATAAGTTAGTGTGTCGTGCATAATACATTTTGTAATATAATATGATATAATACTTAATTATAATACATTATAATGTCATAAAATAATAAAGCTCTATAATAACATTTATGTGCATTACTTTCACGCAATAAATTAAGAAAATTATAAAAAACTACACAGTGTGGTGCAGTTAAAACGAAAACTAAACGAAGCACATCACAAATGAACTACTAATGTAACTACAATCCAGTTTTAGTGCAAGTCTAGTGCTGAGTGCTATCTCACTCACCACGCGAGCGCATAGACAGCGCGATTGCAAGGGAAGGTTGCGCCGCACCACTCTCACGTGCCCCATCTGGTTAAACCACCACCGTAATGTTATTTTACACAAAATTAGTACTTATTAGTATTTACTTAGATTAAGAGTTCTACGATTTCAACCATTTTGATTAAAGTAGTCGAAATTCCGGAAGTTTCCTTGCCCTCAGCCCTCTCATAAATTAGAGGACAAGCACGCAATCCTGCAATGATCCAAGAGTGGGCTATGCAGGCTGCAATTTCACTTTTTATTGTTAAATGATTTAATCAAAATCAGGATTTAAATAGCATTAACCTTATTTTTCTTTCATTGCAAATTAGTTTTCAAATTTTTATCAATAGTTTTAAGCCTGTATAGAGACAGAAACAGAAACTTATTCAATGTAAATTATAAATAATACTTATTGAAAGTCACTCTTTTGTTTAATTCCACTGATTCGAAAAAGATTCTGTCCTAGGAAGAACCAGCAATAAACCCAGCGGGACTTTTTTTTACAAAGGTCGAATTACAATAATGTATGTTACACAATTAACCACACAAAACTATTTATAAATAGCTTGGTAGCGATCACCTCATTCTTAGGGGTTATTAGCATCCATAAATTCCTTAATATTATATTCTTATACAAACTTTGTTTAATAAAGTTTTTGAAAATTTTGTGTACGTACATTACACTTTCATGAATGTATCGAGAGGCCAAAGTTAATATATTAATTTCCTTAAATTATTGTCGGAGCGACTCTTTAGGTTTTAAATCATAGATTGCTCTTATGGCCTTCTTTTGTAAAACAAATATAAATTCAGTGTCAGTCGCGTGTCCCCATAGCAAAATACCATACGACCTTATGCTATGAAAATAGCTAAAGTAAACAAGCATATGCTGCAGAACTAAGTCTGCTTGCTAATTTTGATATATCTAGTGTTATTTCTAGAAAAATGGTGGTATCGATAAGACTCAGTTCCTCCCCATTTCTAATATATTACATTATTATTTATTATAATTATTAATATTACATTATTATTTAAATGTTAGACATTTGGAGTCATGAATTTCACACATTTCGTTTTAGTGCCATTTAAGTGCAAGTTATTACCATTATACCAATTTACTAAATTAGATATAGCATTATTTACTTCACATTTTAATAATTGTCGTTTTTATTTGAAAATTAATCAAGTATCATCAGCAAATAATACTATATTATGGTTATCCCCCTACTATGTAAGGTAAGTCATTAATATATACAAGAAACAGAAAGGAGCCGAGAATTGAGCCTTGAGGCACACCATTTGTACTATCGACCCGGAAGAGCTCATACTATTAATGACAACTTTCACGTTCTGTTACTTAAATATGAAATAGTTAATTTAAGAGCATTACTTACTCCGTAGTGTGCAATTTCCTGACTAATGTTTCATATAATAATTAAATATAATATTGAGGTATTGTTTTATTTTACTGAAGTGACAAATGAAGTTACAGTTACTAGATATAATAAGTGGCTATTGCAGTCATGGACACCTGCAACCACCTTCAAACAAAGAAGGATACAGATGCGGTGTCACCTATGAGGACTAAGATGGAACGCGAACTGTGTATCGGAAAATTACCCATACCAAACGATATTTAAATGATGAATCTCGCCACCACCATTCACAGTTATCTATTGCAAATAAAGATTTATAACAAGGCACACTAGATACTGGCCTAGAGCATTACCGCAGAGAGGGCATCGGTTATTAAACATCTGATAAAAAATTATGTACTTTCTTATGGATAAAATGATGTTTCTATTCAATCAAAATAGAAATTAATCTCTCGCTATTACATAAATGCATTTAGATTTGATGTATTGTGAAACATAATTTAAAATAAAAATACACTATTTTTTTTATTTAGTGATCTTTAAATTTGTGTATGATATCAATATTTGTAATACTTTTTTAAGGGTTGTTTTTTTTTCAATTTGTAGGACTGCATGATAATTAAAATTTTTAGTTTTAGTTACTTTAGGTTTTTTAATATTGTATTTATTTTAATGTTATCTAAATAAATGTACTCCTATCATTGAGATATATATATATATATATATATATATATATATATATATATATATATATATATATATATATATATATGTATATATATATATATATATATATATCGGACTCATATATTATAAATATATAAAAATTGTAAATTATATTTCATTTATAACTATGCAACTTGATAGTCAAAAGGAAATACTATCTCAAGTTTTGTAAAGGTGTTTAAAATTATAATTTAAAAAATTACAATAGGGCTTTCACTATTTAAAATTCAAGGATCAGTATTTAAGCTACTAAAGTATACCTTAAAATTTTTAACTATTTTATTCAAATAAACATTGATATAAAATGAAAATAAAAATGATAAAAACCTAGAGCACACATATGTCAGTTCGGTCAAGTTAGCTCATAAAATAGGGGTAAGGTTATGATAATTCACTTAGAACTGTAAGTTAATACGAACGTTAGGAACACCTTTTCATTACAAATGAAATGCGAAAATTCCCGATCGACACCACATCTGCAAAAAACATGTTCAAGGTCAAAATTGTGTTCTTTATAATATGCATGTCAATTGTCTTTATATACGTCACAGCCGTAATACAAGTAAAATAAATATTGGATCAACATCAATCAGAAATATACTCATCCAAAAGTTTACCTGCTTTTTCGAAATGCCAAAATCACATACAATTTTCACACGCAATAACCGGCTGCGGAGGGTTAAAACAACAGTTTTGAAATTGTTTAAGGAACAAGATTTAGTTAATTGTGCTGAAATATTCAAAGAGAGTAACTCTACCCCACAATCTGTAATCACCAACGGAATTCGCTTCTTTCTTTCTGCATACGGAGCTCCAATAACCTGCTTAAATAACTTTCGATACTTACCTATTGTTACAAATACTCATAACAAAAAATGAGTGCAATTAGCTTGTTTTCACCCAACTTCTGCAAGTGTTAATAAACTGGACCCAGAAGACTGGGGTCGGAAGTTCATAGACAATACATCGGAACCAATACAGACTTTACTCGGACCTGCAGTGGAAAAACTCCTCAATACAATTTTTTGCAATTGCAAATAGGTCGGTAATGCAAAATGTGGCCGCAAAAAGTTTGGATTGTTGTTTGTGTCAAAGAGTTCACTTTGTTTCACCAGTGTGACATTTGGTGGGAAAAAGCGTAGGTAGAGTTCTGTCTAGCTTTCTTTGTTGGTCTAACGCATCACTTAAACGTTGTAAAAATATAAACTTTTACTGGTATAAAATGATTATGGTCGCCCTTTAATTACCCATGACGTGGTTCCGCGGGCGCGTACCACAGACAAGTGGGGCAGTGCCACCGCACGGCGTGACGTCCCGCGATAAATCCCACTTCCGGTGCGTTATACATTCAAAATGGCGTAGTGAGTGGCAAAGGTTTACGGGTCACTTTCATTTTTACTTTGAACACCAACTGCACACTTACCACATGCAAGTGAACACAAAACGTGGGAATGTTTCACGACCCGTATCTATCTTCGATCGATTTTAAATTTAAGGATCCTTTTTTGGCATGCCTTCGATGTACAAAGCCAAATTTATTAATTTTTTTTATCTTTGGAATATTTGTGTATATCAATGATCTGCGTCAAAATTGAGTGTTTGTTTATTTTTATATATTATAATTCTAAGTTATTTTAAACTAGCGACCCGTCCATTTTTGCCTGGATGTCCTTTATTAAATTTAAGATTTTCAAAGAACATTTATTTTATAAATTTTTCGTTGTTTTTAAAATCTTATTAAATATAGACCAGATCACTCCTGGTATTGTTTCATATCTGTTTGCGAAGTTTCATTTCAATAATTTCAGCCACTTAAAAGATTAGCCCATACAAACTGACACACAGACGGACAGACAAAATATTTAGCAATGGTCACTCGTATCTTAATGGCAAGCAAATAACCCCTTGCGCTCAATAAATGAAGTTATTTCGATGTTAAAGACAATTAATAATCGTGAGACAAAAATCCGCCAAGACGAACCAACCAAACCAAAACGATGCTCTACCTACCTTTTCTGTAAGCGCTTCGTCGTTTTTTGAACCCTCATAACTTGGTTTTGGATTATATCAGATAAACGAAATTCTCGGAAAATAAAAACGAAACGGCCAAGCCACATATTTGGTCTAAGGTGTAGAGTTTGTGAACTTAGGACTTGTGGAGTTAGAAGTTTGGCTCTGCATGAGATCTGATAACTTTTTGACAGTGCGTGCCATATGGTCTCGTCTTGGCAACATTTTACATAAAAAGTCTTTTCTCGTTATCATAACTAATAATTTTTTTACTAGTACATCACAAGTAGACATAAGAACAAATGGATATACTCATTAGATCAACAGCTCATTCAATTATCAAAAGTAAAATTATCGATTTCCAAAAAGCAAACAAATGATCTACTTAATAACATAACGATTGTCTTTGATAAAATTTCGACCGCTGATTGAATAAGAAACGACCATGACAGACCTAATTGAATCAGATAAGTTGCAGGCTGGGCAGCTTTCTCTAAGTAAATTGTGCGTCAAATTATTAGAAAACGATCGGTGATCAGTTAGTTCTTCCCCTTCTAATGTAATTTGCAAATGGCAGCGCATTTAGCACGTTAAAAATAATGCCTCTGTAATGTAAGTAAAAGGAGCCGTAGCATCCATTCCATATCATATAACCAATGCTAAGTAAAATGTTAATTGGTATTTAGTAGTAGTTAATATTTAGTATTTAGAATAAAAACTGCCTTCTTTTATATTGCAATACGGGGCGTCAATTGATTATATTGTATTAGATAAGTATATTTCTTGTGACATGCAAATTGTAATAAATAAATCCAGTCGCAGCACATAGTAGAGAATCCTCATTCTTTACTCTGTGGCAGCAACCCGGGTCCGATAGGCGACACGTGTGCCCTGTTCATGCTTGCTTATTTCTACTTATGTTAAATTTATTTA